GGGTGTGTGGTGTGGGGGGGGAGGGGGGGGGGGGGGGGGGGGGGGGTTGCTCATCTTCGTAATCGAAGTAATCAGTGTTGTTTACGTTTAGGAGAAAGCGTGCACATGCTGAACGTAAAAAAACGCTGATTATGTTGATTACGTTCTGGGGAAAGCATGCACACGTTTCATGGTACGCTCCAAAATGGCAGAAGACGGAAACTCGGGAAAAAGAATTGTTGAATAAATTGTTATTTTTGTTTTCTTTGCGCACAAAAAGTAGCTTCTCGTAGCTTTGCAAAATTGATGTTGAGCCACTGATGTCACATGGACTGTTTTATCGATGTCCTTACTAGTGCTGTGTTTGATACATCGATACGACGATGTATCGTCACAGAGATTTGACGATACGAGTATCGATACAGCTGGCCCTGTATCGATATTGTGGCACGTGTGCAGCAGTGGACCGCGCTTAATTTGAATTCGAGAGCACCGTTTAAAATGGAGTCGAAAAGTGCGAGGTTTCTAAAAAATAATGAATAGAGCATAATAGATAGGCTACAGCAAGGTTTAATCTGGCCGCAGAGGAACACAACCTGGGTTGCCTGATATAAAGAGACGCAATCTCCGAAACAGAGCTTCCCATTTGCGCAATACAGAAATATCTGCTAAGTGTGTTACTTATCTTTGTCAACCTGGCAACCATGTGCACACGCTCTCTCTCCACTGTGGATAAATGCGCTTACTTTATGAAAACACTTAGCTTGCAGTTTAGCGATCTCCACTTCAATATACTATTTATTATCTATCTATAAGTGTTTATTTACACGAGAGAGAGAGAGAGAGAGAGAGAGGCTGTGTATGTATGAATTACCACCGTTTCACTGCGTTTCTCTATTAACAGTGAAGCTGTGGCTTTAATTCCTTTAGAAACAATGATGTTACCAGCTCCTTGTTGAGAAAGATAATGTAGCTTTGCAGTCCTGTATCGTATTGTGGCCTCTGTATTGTGATATATATCGTATCGTGACTTTGCTGGTGATACACAGCCTTAGTCCTTACTACAGTTCTGGGTCTGGGAACATTTCAGTTGTCTTGCTGTCTATGCAGGTTCAGAGAGCTCTCAGATTTAAAAAAGATATAAAAAATATCTTAATTTGTGTTCCGAAGATGATCGAAGGTCTTGCGGGTTTGGAACGACATGAGGAAATTAATGACTGTATTTTTATTTTTGGGTGAACTAACCCTTTAACAACTACCTTCCTAACTATTAGTGAGCAGCAAATTAGTAGTTTATTGAGGCAAAAGACATAAAATGGTTTGTTAATAGCGAGAATTGGACCTTAAAATAAAGTGTGACCATATAATTTATATATACAATAATGCTTGAGACATAATTGGTCATTCAGTGTCATTCAACAATAATTCTACTAATAATGTTAATATAAAAGGTGCTAAATTCTGATAGACTTGGGTGAACTAAAGCCATCATAGGACACAACATGCACTGCAGTGATAATATATTTGCTGAACTTATTCTAATTCAGTCACTGGAGAGTGAAATCTACCAGTGTATTAGCCAGTGGCTAACAGCAGACAATATTTAGCCGCAAGGGTGAAATTTAGTCGTCATATGCAAAAGCTTTACTCGCAATGTAGAGGTCCTACCTGGACAAATTTTCTAAAACTTCTGCATGTTTCTGTTTGTTATTTCTTATAAATTATCCAAAAGATAATGATTTAATGGATAGATTAAAAATATATAAACATATAAATGCAGCATAACTTCACCCCAATAACTTACTTTACAACAAGCTGATTGGTTCCATAAGTCAGACAGTGCCGTCGATATGGAGATAGTATGACAGTCTGTTTGTTTTCTCTCAGTTATTCGGATGTCAACAAAAAATTATTTTGTTAATCAGAGCACCGGCAAACAAGGAAATGAAGGAATAATTAAAAGAGACAGACAGAGAGGACAGAGAATATAGAACACTGTACAGAGAAAAATAGGTTTTGACTGTTTGTTTTTAAATTGATTAGCTAAACCCCATCTCCACTGCTCATTCACACCTGCCACCCCATCACCCCGAGGGCAAACCGTCACGATGGCGATGCCCATATGACTGATTTATTGTGCATCATCATAGGTGATTCTCTGATGTTTACTAAAGAGGTCATACAGATGGGACATGTACATGGTGAAGATGTCTATTTATTAATCTGCATGTTTTCATCAGGAACAGATGCTTTCCAGAAGAATCACTCTTTAAACATCTTATAAATCTATGTGTGCTTACTGTGCCTACCATATACAATATGGAGTTCCTAACTAGGAGAAAACCCAGTCTTTGGTGATGTTTTAATTCTGTTCTGGTGGCATACAGAGCTAAAATTATGAAAATTGTGTCAGTGTCCAAATAAGTGTGTGTGTGCGTGTGTGTGTATGTGTGTGTGTATATATATATATATATATATATACAAATATATATATATAGCATTTAATTTCTATATAGCAGAAATTTCTCTATATATATAGCATTTAATTTCTGTTTGCATACCGTTACTTGTTATTTTAATTCTGTGTAGAGGACTTTCTGATCAGGCACTACAAACACTGTGTTGGGACAACACAAAACTAAAATGAAAAAACAAAAAAACAAAAAAATTAACAATACCGGTATCTGCAGTATTGGTAGTAGCAACCTAATGCTGTACCAGTGCAGTCAGAAACGTCCTCTGTCGAACATGTGAGTGTGTATTTGTGAGCATGTGAATAGCATTTGAGGTAATGCAGCTATGCATAAGACATTCTTGTCAAAATGCCCACCTGGTGAGGTAATAATGTAAACACAGTTGATTTGTGAACATAAGATGCAGGACAAGTGCACCATATTGTACCGATGTATCAGGTCTTGCCGTACACATTCAGCCTAAGAGACCTGCTGCTGTCTTGAATATGTCATAGTTTTAATTAAACAACAGTATCGACAGGGAAAAGCCACTTAATTTGTATTAGCCACTTAATTAGTTTGAATAATTTGCATCAAAAACTAAAAGCAGTATTTTCTTAATTAATTTTTTTTATTAATTTTTTTTTATTTTTCCAGAAATTTTAAACTTTCCAGGATTTTTTTTGAATATTCCAGTGATTTTTGGAAAGTTTCCGGAAATTTTCCACCCCTTTTCAACCCTATAAAGGATGTTATCCATTTTTGCTATGATATTGCGAAATTTCACTGGTATTGGTACCTTTGACTTTAATATGACTCAACTTTAAAAATGTATGAGCAGTTTTCTGAGGTGGAGGCCTGTGTGTGCCAGTGTGTCTGTGTGAGCCTCATACACGAATGAGTTATAACGATGGTGTGGAAAGCTGGACTATATCCCATCTGGCCTGTGCGACTAACTCTGACGTAATCTCTGCTGACACAGAAATGCTTAAAACACACACAGAGTGAAAAACAGACCTCACTGACTCAGAAACATGTTGGAGCCAATTGCCGTAATTGATTGCTGTAGCTCATCAATGCTGCTTTATTCTCTTCATATTTTTGTGTTATCTCTCAAAAGTGTTTTTCTCTTTTAGTTTTAAATAAATATGTTTTTTTATATTATATATCACAGTCTGGAGCTCTGAAATGTGCCGCTCACTTGTCAGAAATGCGACTGCTATACTTTCTTTTTGCTGTTTCTTTGTTTGTTTCTTTTCTCATGTTTATTAGGGTCACCTAGTCATGTATAATCAAGATTATTGGTTGGATTTGGTTGTTCTCTCAGATGAACTGTGCTGGATGTGTTCTGTTGTCATGAATGCATTCTGTCTTTATTATTATGGATGCAGTTAATAGTAATGAGGCAGATCAGACAGGATGACACTGCAGATTCAAATGATCACCACAGCTGTACTTTATTAGAGAAAAATGGTAAATATTATTTAAAATAACATTTACACCAAGTTTAACTAGCATAAAATGGTATTTTCAACTAAAATATTCAGAATATTTAACAAGCTGTTGTATGGCATGACATGATTCTTTTGATCTGAATTAATTTAAAATATGTTTTTAATCTATATTAATTTACATAACCCTCTGAATATCTTTAGCCTGCTTTTGAGATCCAGTGTCATGTGATTAAATGTTTTAATATGTTTTTCACAGTTTGTCTGCATCAGCTTGACACGGTTAGCAGCAGAATGTCTTTCTTTTCCACTCTCACTCACATTCCAATCACAATGCCTCAAATCTGTATTGACTAAAAAGAAATATTCAATGAACATTGTGTGAGCGAGAGATATTAACTGATAATTTTGTCTGTACAGTATGCACGGGTCTGGATCCCGGATGTAGAGGAAGTGTGGAAGTCAGCAGAGCTCACCAAGGACTACAGACAAGGCGATGGAGTACTGCAGCTACAGCTGGAGGATGGAAAGGTCAGTGTGTGTGTTTGTATTAGAGCAGTGAGTGTTTATAAGCCTCATCAGACTATTTTCATTAGCATTGCTCACAGTACGATAGGTTTACTGATGTACTTTTTTAGTTTATTGGGATTGGTCCAAGGGAATGATCCCCGCAGCCTTTGTGTTAGCAATCCAGCAGATCATTAACCATTAGCTTAAACGTACCACAGCCAGTCACACTGTCCGAGTACTATAGACAATCATGTAAACACGGGTTTGTAAAAGCACTTGGGAATTGCTCTTACAGTAAATGTATTAATACACCCTTAGCAGTCAAGCACATGGAATTACAATGAAAGCATTTACACATTATATTTGTTAATATGAGACTAATGCAGAATGATGTTAGAATAGTTTACCAACCCTGACTTTTTGGCGTCAATTACATTTTTGTCCATTTTAACTAACAATAGCAATCCTAACAATAATGTGCAAAATACTCCTTAAAATATTCCTTAAAACAATGACTTCAGGTCTAAATGAGTCTTAACTCTCTGTTCAGTGATCTCTAGGGGGTTAATGACAGTAAAAGTGGTGGTGGGAGTTTTATGATCTTTGTAGCAGGGTAAGAAATTATCTTTTCCATTAAGGGGGAAATATTTGCCCCCAGGAGCAGATTTCCTGGGGCATTTATTAACTTTGTAAAGGCAATTTTTATGGCAAATGTATTTGTTTTTATGTCAAATATTTAAATTTAACCAATTACATTAATATAGACTGTTGTTGTTTTTCAACATCAACAAAAGTAATCTTTATACTGCAACGGTGGAACAGAAGCTTTATCTGACATGGCATTTATGTTTATTTAATTTAGTCCGTTTAATGCTGTTCAAAGGTGGCATACTGTACATGTATTTATACAACACAACAGTAGCATAAGGTAAATGGACTATAAATTAAAGGCCAATGAAAAAAAAATGATTGTTGATTATTGCTCTTGATATTGTAAACGTGATTGTTAATGTTGAGTAATATAAATATTTTTTGTTTTTGTGGAAATACCACATCAAATTCTGGCTTCAGACAAAACAAGCCAAGAACATTTTATGAATTAGGCTATTACTTTTTACTGATTAGAAAATCAAGACTTCACACTGGTTATTTTAGTAGCATGAAAAACAAAACGTCTATTTAAACTTAGAATAATTTATATAAAAATTGAGCAAAGAACACTGAAGCGGTCCATGACTTCAGACTAATGTAAGTTATGCACTTTCACAGAAACTCCCATTATAATCACTAAAGCTCTGTACATTGCAAAATTAATCTCTTACTTACAACATTTCTGCACTTTGTTGTTTATGATGATGAGAAAATTTGAAAATGCAAATTCAGAATTCAGTCAGTGAGCATGCACACTAAACAAGTGACAAACCAAAACACCTCTGATTGATTGGTTATCCTGTTCAATGCTGCAAACAAATAGTAAAAAGTAATCTATGCAACATAGAAATCTAATGCAATTGACACATTTCGTTAATTTTCACATTTATCTTTAATTGTAACAGCCATAATAGATTTAGCTTGTGCAGGGGCATTTTTGCCCCCTTTATCTTGAATTTGCAGGGTATGTTTGTTAATTTTGGTGCCAATTTTGTTTCAAGCCCCATTTATTTCGGACCCTGCTTTGTAGTCGTCCATCGCCAAAGGCTGATAGACATCACGATGTTGAGCCGGCATCGTGATCCTCCCCCACCCCCCCCGCAATCCGCCGCATCCCAATACCGTTTTCGGAAAGAAAATGACATGTAGGCGGAACCACTAAAGGGATTAAATATGAGATGGGAGGAAAATATATATTTCAAGATTTTTCCTCGCAGTTATATCATTGGGTAATTATACTACATATATATTTCGGGCATCAGGGAGCCGCTATTATACCTGGCATTGAAACTGGCATCATGCTTTTGAATGCACGATCGCTTTTTAGTTTCACTTTCACTTTCGAGATTCGTAATCGCACATACTCTGTTTGTACTATGGAGCGGCAGTACTTACCACACATACAAGATTATATGTTTGTCAGTGGTATGAGGATCTGCAAATCATTCGCCATCGTCCTTAGTCAAGCTTACTCTGTTTATGTGGTAAGTGAAATTTTATGTACTGTAACAGACAACCGTTACACCGTGTCTACACTGGACACAACAGTTGTTGTGTCGCGCTGCATCAGCTAAAGTCTGTCTACACTGGACACGACAAAGCGACCGTTGAAAATCATTTGAAATTTGTGTCAGCACATCATAAATAGAACGCGGTAGCAGTTTAATGTTGGGGATTTGTCGTGTCGTGCAGAGCCACATCCAGTGTAGACAGCATCACTTATTATAATGTGTTCTATAGACTGATCTATATATAAGGAATCTCTATTATAAATCAGTGGTTCTATAGTATTTTGTCGTGCCGCTCGCATCCGGAATCGTTAGGAATCGTTATTTGTTTTCCCTTATAAGGATTCACGCTTTGGGCACACCCCCTAACTCCCCCCTCCACCCCTGCCCCCGCCGATGTCATCGTCCATCACGATGTTTCACTGTAGACATCGCCAACCCTACTTTGTAGTTGAAAATCATTTGAAATTTGTGTCAGCACATCATAAATAGAACGCGGTAGCAGTTTAATGTTGGGGATTTGTCGTGTCGTGCAGAGCCACATCCAGTGTAGACAGCATCACTTATTATAATGTGTTCTATAGACTGATCTATATATAAGGAATCTCTATTATAAATCAGTGGTTCTATAGTATTTTGTCGTGCCGCTCGCATCCGGAATCGTTAGGAATCGTTATTTGTTTTCCCTTATAAGGATTCACGCTTTGGGCACACCCCCTAACTCCACCCTCCACCCCTGCCCCCGCCGATGTCATCGTCCATCACGATGTTTCACTGTAGACATCGCCAACCCTACTTTGTAGTCATTTCTATTTATGTGGTGTATTTATCTGATGACTTTATTAGCTCATTGCGCTGAATTCCAATCCATCTCTAAACTCTAAATAAAGATTCAGAGAACTAGTTAATGTGTTATTTAAAAAAGGCAGTCGTGTCGTGTCGTTTCAAATCAGTTTAATTTGTATATATCAGTGGATTTGTTTCTTTCAGAGGAGATGTTTTGCGGATTTTTGACAGATAATTTCCATATGATGATGGCCTCAGAGGTTGGTAATGTCAAATTACATTGATTATCTTTTGGCTTGTGACCGATCGCGACAAGTCAGGTTTGAAAATGCTGAAACGTGAATAATTTCTATTTATGTGGTGTATTTATCTGATGACTTTATTAGCTCATTGCGCTGGATTCCAATCCATCTCTAAACTCTAAATAAAGATTCAGAGAACTAGTTAATGTGTTATTTAAAAAAGGCAGTCGTGTCGTGTCGTTTCAAATCAGTTTAATTTGTATATATCAGTTTAATTTGTTTCTTTCAGAGGAGATGTTTTGCGGATTTTTGACAGATAATTTCCATATGATGATGGCCTCAGAGGTTGGTAATGTCAAATTACATTGATTATCTTTTGGCTTGTGACCGATCGCGACAAGTCAGGTTTGAAAATGCTGAAACGTGAATGAGTTTTTCAGTCTGTACCTCACAGAAACCGATCGTCTGACTTCAGAGGATGCTGGTTTCCCCTTAAAAACCAAACTGTCATAATTTGTTGTGCTATGAATTGTGTTATTCAGGAACTGGAGTATAAATTGGACCCAAAGACAAACAACTTACCACACCTCCGTAACCCTGATATCCTGGTGGGAGAAAATGACCTGACAGCTCTCAGTTACCTTCACGAGCCCGCTGTGTTGCACAATCTGAAAGTGCGCTTCATTGATTCCAAACTCATCTACACATACTGCGGTAAACACACACACACACACACACACATACTAGACATATACACTTAATTTGTCTACAATGAATTATTGTGTTTTTTATCGTTTGACCCAGGTATTGTTCTAGTCGCTATTAACCCATATGAGACACTACCCATCTATGGAACTGACATCATTAATGCATACAGTGGGCAGAACATGGGTGACATGGACCCTCACATCTTCGCAGTGGCAGAAGAAGCTTACAAACAGATGGCCAGGTGGGGTTGAGCAAATTAAAGTTAATTAAACTGTTGCTACTTGGTAGCTACCTGAATAAGGCCCTAATATACTCATGGTGAAGTTCAGTTTTCATTCTTTTCTCAGGGGTAAAAACTAGCGATGCACCGATTGCAATTTCCGATTTTTTGGAAGTGTGACGTGCTGATTCTAAGAACTATAATTTACAGCGTATACAAACAAAAATCTATGCAAATTTCAATGCAAAAATTATTTACATAATAAAATAAATTATTAAACATTACAAATCCCACAATCTGGACTAAGTTACAGATTTTCTCTCACTTAAACAACTCTCAAAATGAAGTGCTCTGTGACTGGAAAGAGGAAGAAATTGTTAACTTAAAATTAGTTGCTGTATGTAACAAAACAGATGTCATTTCCCACTATGTTTATAAATGGTCATTTTTTTCCCCCTAACATTATTAAATGTGTCATCTTTCACATCAAATTCTTACTTTGTTTCAATTAATTCAGTTAGAATAATAAGAAACTGTTGAGTTGTTACCATTCAAATGAAATTAATATTAACAAACTCTATCTTTCCACTGCTGAGGAAACCGAAGCTGCATCTGAAGTGGCATTAGATGCATTTAAACAGACTTTTTGATAAAGCTGAGGTGCCATAAATGCATTTACACTGCAAAATTTCAGTAATTTTATAAGATTAATGTTTTATCATTTTTTTAAACATAAAAATAAATGTTGAAAAGATGCAATGATACTTTTAAATATGACTAAACCACCAATAGGTGGCGGCAAATGTCTGTTTTAATGAGTGAGCCATTTATTCATTCATTCAAACGGCTGATTCATTCAGAAACGAGGCATGTGACTGTCTTTATGAATGGCCCACTGAATCATTGACTCACTCGATTCGTTCAAAAACGTGGATTCATGCAGTAACGAAACACCGCTGTGTGTTGCTTGGGGACACACAACAGTCCTGCTGTGGCTTTGATCGGCTTTGATTTTAACTTCTTGTTTATTGAAATACTATTGTATAAAACCAGTGTCACATTGCAATCGTGTTGATATTGATATTCGGGGAAACATCATGGCTGTATAATGTTGCTTACCTAAATCATATTTTGTAAAGATCTTTTTTTTTTCTACCGCAGTATGCATCTCTAAATTTTTGTGAGTTACTTTGTGTGTGCAGTCTCTCTCACTCACTCACTCAGGCTGTGCAAGCCTCATCTGGCACGACATAAATACATTATCAGTCGCCGTTTACACTGAATGCAATTAAAATTAGAATCATTCTCATGCGAAAAGACATGTTTACACGCGACTGTGAGTGTGCGCGTGGCTGTGACGTCATTGTCGGCGCAGCTGGTAATGAAAGCATCAGCTCGGAATCGGCAAGACGCGAGATTGAATTTGTCTCCTCAAATTTGTCTCCCCAATTTGTCACCCTGGCACCATTTTGGAGAGTATCGCAGATGTAAACAACGCATGCAATGTATGTACGTGGATACCAGGGGTGATTCTAAGATTTTCGTTTTAGGGGATGAGGGTATAATAATAAAAAATAATAGTAAACATATAAATTAAATAAAAAAATTATTGAGTAAGGTGGTAAACTAAACTTATTGCATTTTGCAACTTATTGTATTCCACTGTACTGCATAGATAGGTATAACATTTGAGTACTGAATAAGCCATACAAGTCTTCCTGAATCCTGATCTCTCTCTCTCTCTCACACACACACACACACACACACACACACACACACTGTGACGTCATCGTCGGCGCAGCTGGTAATGAAAGCATCAGCTCGGAATCGGCAAGACGCGAGATTGAATTTGTCTCCTCAAATTTGTCTCCCCAATTTGTCACCCTGGCACCATTTTGGAGAGTATCGCAGATGTAAACAACGCATGCAATGTATGTACGCGGATACCAGGGGTGATTCTAAGATTTTCGTTTTAGGGGATGAGGGTATAATAATAAAAAATAATAGTAAACATATAAATTAAATAAAAAAATTATTGAGTAAGGTGGTAAACTAAACTTATTGCATTTTGCAACTTATTGTATTCCACTGTACTGCATAGATAGGTATAACATTTGAGTACTGAATAAGCCATACAAGTCTTCCTGAATCCTCATCTCTCTCTCTCTCACACACACACACACACACACACACTCAAGTTTACTTAGTTATCTAAATGGGGACATTCCATAGGCGTAATGGTTTTTATACTGTACAAACTGTATATTCTATCACCCTACACCTAAACCTACCCCTTACAGGAAACTTTGCACTGTAATTAATATGTTTTATATTAAATGTAAAATGGTTTTATATATAGTATGTGTTTATATAGCCTATGTGTTAAGGGCTTCATTTTCGCTGGAGAAAACAGCTGTGGTGTGATGAGGGGTGAATGCAGCGAAAACTTTACAGGAGATGGAAAACCGATTGCTCCCCCGTGATATTTTGTAAACTGTCTTTATGACAAAGAACTGCACAGATGCAGATATTATAACAATCTATCGATAAACACACACCTTGTCCTCTGCTTCTTGCTCTGCGCCGCTGCGGAATGAAGAACGCAAAAGATTTAAAGAATGTTAGACCACCAAGAATAGAGCCAACTGAGTTTCATTGTATGGACAAAAAAAACTGAAACATTTTGCATAATATCTTTTTTTGTGCTCCACCGAAGAAAGTCATGCAGGTTTGGAAAGACACAAGGTTGGTTAAATTACAGTCTTTTCAATTTTAGGTGAACTATCTGTTTAGGTACAGTATGTTCAATGAAACTGTGCTTGCATTGCATTCACAAAGCATTCACTGTTTGCATAGAGTATGTCTCTGGCTTTACTGTCAGTTGTAAAGTGTGTGAGTATATGCTTTACTGCTCAATCTGAAGAGAAGGATTGTAGGTCAGGATGTTGCTCACTGCAGCCCAGCCAAAAATAGACCAGCCACGGTAATGTTTCTCTCACTTCTTCTCAATGCAGCTGCAATGGTTTACACAATTGAACCTGTCTGTCTGAAATTTTCATTGGATGGCTGTGTTGCAGCAAAAGCTACAGTTTAGATGGAGCATCATTTCATCAAAGCCTTGTGTCTTTCCTCAGTCCTACACCCCCAGAACACCATAGGAACCACTCACAACACTTAGCAGCTGAGTGACAACCATCCAGACACCCTAGTAACCCCTATCATTGTGTAGAAACAACTTTAAAGCAATAGTTTTAGATGGACAAACACCATTCACATTTTCTTCAAAAAAGTAGAACTTATTCTTTTTTCCTTGCATTTATCTTGCATTTTTTTCCCATTATGCAGGGATGAGAGGAATCAGTCCATCATTGTGAGCGGAGAATCGGGAGCAGGGAAAACTGTCTCAGCCAAATACGCCATGCGTTACTTTGCTACGGTCAGTGGCTCTGCCAGCGAAGCCAATGTGGAAGAAAAAGTTCTGGCATCCAACCCCATCATGGAGGTGAGTTTTTCCTGCATCACTAGATCAGTGCGCCATTCTGGACTCAGTACTGAGACTTGGGTTGTTTGTTTTTATGAAGGGCTTTAATAATACAGACATTCATATCTCAGAGAGCCAAACCCCTTGGGCTGAGAGACTAAAAGCTCAATGGCTGAAAATGAGTGTCTTGTTCAGAGCGTTCTATTTGCCCTTCACTGCATGGTCTTCACCTCCCCAGGGCTCATTTCCCTCGGAACAGCAGCAGGGAGAGTGTTTACATGTGTGTATGAGTGCTTGCATATGTATTAGTGTAAATTTAGTGTTAGCATGAAAGCTCATATGACCTTCTCTGCTGTCCTCAACTCATTTATTTTTTCTGCATACTTAAAGACCTACACAATCACGGTTTCAGAAACTAGCTACCTCATATAAATGTTAGCATGCTAAAGCATCATAGGAACTCCAGATGTGAATGCACATAATTGATTACTTTGTTTTTATGGCAGTATTCCATATATTCTTCACAGACAAAAGTAGAAAAAGTGCTGATTAAACAGTCAAATTATTAATACCATACTGACAAGTACCAATATAAATAATTTTAAAATATGACAAATTGGCTGTTTTACCACTCTTTATTTGTGCTATGCAAGTTCCAACTTATTAGAATAAGGTACAAATGGGCTAAAGGCACACTTTAAAGGGGTGATGAACTGCCTTTGTTTTTGTTTTTTTATTGTGTACTATAATCTGAGGTCCACTTATAATGTTATACAGATTTTTACATCAAAAACATCATAATTTAGAAGTAATAGGCTATTTTCTGTCCTGTTTTGACCCCCCCCCCTCATCGGAACGCTCTGTTTTAATAGACGTGGCGGATTGTAGACTTGGAAGTAAACGCCCACTGCTATGATTGGCTAACAGTTGTGTATATTTGACAGCCTACATCCTTCATAGATGGACACTGCTGTGACCCCCCCATCAGAACGCTCTGTTTGAATAGGCGTGGTGGATTGTAGATTCGGAAGTAAATGCCCACTGCTAAGATTGGCTAACATTGTGCATGTTTGACAGTCTACATTCCTCATAGAAGGATGCTGCTGAGATTTAGTTTAACAATGCATAAATACTCAATACATATAAAAAATCTATAATAACAGACAAAGCAATAGTGACCACGTAATGAAAACAGTTACTCACACTTGTGTCTTGCAACATTACTGTCGGATCCAATATAGTCGGCACATCATTGTCTTTTAGTTTCAATCTTTCTGAAATTCCTGCGTCGAATTGTGCTTTGTTTGTAAACGAATCCGCGGTAAAATTAAAGGGTTAGTTCACCCAAAAATTTTAATTCTGTCATTAATTACTCACCCTCATGATGTCGTTTTAAACCCGTAAGACCTTCGTTCATCTTCGGAACACAAATAAAGATATTTTTGATGGAAATCTGAGAGCTGTCTGACCCTGCATAGACGGCAATACAACTGAAATGTTCCAAAGTCCAGAGACGTAGGGTCAGACAGCTCTCAGATTCCATCAAAAATATCTTAATTTGTGTTCCGAAGATGAACGAAGGTCTTATGGTGCGTTCACACCAGACGCGAAGCGAATATGCGCATCGTGCTACTCGCTCTAGATTACTCGCGGGATGTTTTTCGTGTCACTCGCGTGAATAAAAACAGCGCAATCAACCATGCTGGAGATAACTACAATCGCTGTTTTGTACCTGTTGTCAAAAAGTCCCAAATACAATGGAAAGCCAAACGCCGACGTGTCTGGGTTCACAGCACCATCCAGAGGAGGATGAATAATGTTAGGATCCTGTATTAATGTGTGTGTAACATTTTACTACTGTATATATATACTGATATTACTATTATTTTTATTATTGATAGCAGCATCTCTGTAGCCATGCTAATAAAATACAACTACCACTACAACTGATTTTAACGGTTTTCTACGCTCCAGACCTATATAATAACAGACGGCTGCAATAATGCTCTCTTCTATTGTCTGATTCAACCAGACGTGCCAATAAGCTCTTCGCTGATTGGCTTGCGCGAGAACTCGTTAGGCGAATTTTCCGCTCGAGTTGTAATTTTTGAACTTCCGCGAAAGACGCGATTGAGGCGAATATCTCGCGTTCGGGGCAAACGTGTCGTGCATTTCACGTCATTCGCGTCGCCTGGCGCGAATTCGCCTCTACTCGTGTCTTTGCATTGACTTTGTATGTAATCTACTCGCGCGAATAATTACATTTGCGTTTGGTGTGAACGCACCATTACTGGTTTGAAACGACATGAGAGTGAGTAATTAATGACAGAATTTAAATTTTTGGGTGAACTAACCCTTTAAGTGAACAAAGGACCAAGTTCAAACTGACGCAGTCTGAAACTTCATTAAAAATAAAGTTCATCCAATCTTTCCTAATGTTGGGATCAGAAGGAAGGCAATGCAAAGACTGTTTTTCCACAACTTGGCACTGCACAGCATCTTGTTGTCTTCAGAGCCATCTTTATCGTTCAGTTTCTGTGTAGACCTAGGTTTTCTCGTCTCGTTATTTACACTACATGCGCGAATCGGTGGGCGGGGCTAAACAGTCAGTGATGTAGAAGCAGGCGTTGATCTTCTTCTGCAGAGGCGGTGCTTATCCACACTATTACATCATAAAGTAGAACATTCCAAAAGCTGTCGTTTTGGCAGACTGACTTCAATATAAGCTTTTTTAGACGAACACGAAAGTTTTGAGTTCTGAAACTTACAGGATGTTTTATTATGTCTTATGTCAAAAGATCAAGGCCATTTTGGTTTCTTATTTCATGACCCCTTTAAGGAAAATCCGGCTTTCACTACTCCCATAATGTATGATTGCTAAATTATTGAGCACTGATGGAGCAATACATTTTGTGGTAAAATAAATAAATAATAAAAGTTTGTTTATTTATTTATTTATTCATTTACTTATTTTTTACACGTCATATAAATGCATGAGGTGGTACAAATACTTCAGCTAAAATATTTTTTTTCATAATATCAAAACAATTACTTCGGCAAAGTTTGTACCATATTATCATTAAGTTTCATGATGTATGATCTAAGCTTGTGTAGTCAGATTGAATGAATTTGTGCCTTATAAGGATGCTGCTCATTCAGAAGCTCGCTGCTTGCTGATTCTGATAGTGTTCGTCACCAGGTTTCTGCTCTGTGGGGGAGGAGGTATCAACTTCCTGACCTGCTGTAGAGACCCAGAGATGCAACACTGTGTGTCGTCTCCCACACACATGATCTTGCTGTCCCTGTGTTTTTAAATCAATAACCCTTCTGTGCACTCCTTAAACTTTTAAACCTGTCCTGTTCTATAAAAATAAAACAACGACAAAGAAACCCAAAGATCAGTCCAGTACTTGCACTCAAACTGATGTCTTTCCTCCTCTCATTTCCAGTCCATCGGTAATGCCAAGACCACCAGGAATGACAATAGCAGTCGTTTTGGGAAATACATTGAGATTGGCTTTGATAAGAAGTATCACATCATTGGTGCGAACATGAGGACATATCTCTTGGAGAAATCACGTGTCGTATTTCAGGTAAGGAACAAGCATGCATAATGTATACATACATACATACATATATATAT